ACTCATGGATGGAATGCAAAGACGAATGCAGGCGAAAGGTCTCGCGCGCTTTAAGAGCGCGCACAGGGAGTCTGGCCGAGAAACTAGTCCTGGTGGAAATTTATTCCGGTGAAGCGAGAACAACAAATTACACACACCGGCCGGCAGTAGTCGATCTCTCCTAATACGATGCGACGGGAATGCCGGGGCTTGAAACGCGGGGCACACGGTATCGACACTACGGAAGATTGACGACATATTGACAGTCCGCTGGAAAGTAAATCGATTGTTCCGATGGTGACTTCGCAATTAATTGACTCGGAAAAAAATGGAAGAAAACGGCGTCAAGTGAATCGTCGGAATGTAACGCATGAAAATGTGACACTTACAGTTAGCCTGACAAGGATAACTCGCAATATCGAGACTGCTGAGGTATAAATACTTAAACGTTCGATCCGCGTATATTTGATTGGCGAATTGTATAATTCTTCTTGAATTATACAATTCACTTCTCCAATCGCTTATTATTCCAATTGCTTCTTCACGCAATATGAATAAACATAGAAAATAGATGTAATATTCCTTGCCTTATCACTATTGCCGTAATCCTTCTTCTCCAGAATACCAATACCGATCAAATTGATGACCGCGCTGATTGCAGATCACAAAGTAGTTGTGTTGTTCGTTCGTTAATCGCGAGGAGATGCACAGCGCCAGCAGGGAGGAAGAAGAGACACGCAAGAAGAAGAAGGCAAGAGGGGAGGAAAGAGAAATATAATAAAAGAAGCCATGGCAGGAGCCTGCTTTAGCCAGGACAGATCCCGCCGGGACGATAACACGAGGACACATCGCCACCTCGGCGCGACGATCGTAAAACTTGGTCAGGTAAAGGCGCGGCCCGTTTGAGACCTGCTGCTAGGAGGACGGACAGGAGCTGGTTATAGGCTAGGTATTATAGTCCTGGACTCCGCTGTCGGTCTATCTCGCGAGGGATGCGCGTCCCGTACGCGTATCCTTCGGGGTGGTCCTGGCGACGACATCGGTTCATTAATCGGCCAGATACCCGAGAAAAATGCGCTTTTACGACTACTCTCCCTTCCTTACTCTATCTTACCTTCGCTCTCTCTCTCTCTCTCTCTCTTTCTCTTTCGATCCCGCTGCCGAACACGGTGTCTCTCTGCCAAGTTTCGTGAGGGAGGCCGGCCGATGGCTTATTATCGTTGTGGAGAGACTTCAAGAAAGGGAACTGGATAATTATACGTATATAGGGTTCTATTAACGCGACACTTAACGACGTTGTTTCGGTTTCGTCAATGGCCGGAAGTCTACGAATGCGATTACGAATTGCACGAGTTCGAGGTACCCCGTATCTAAATGCCCCAGATTCGGAACGCTTCGAATTCTAATCGTTCGTAATATATAGATTCCTTGAACCCTGGATATCTTGAATCCTCCTCGGGAACTGAGTTCCTCGGATACCAAATTCCATCGATTCTAAAGCCTATCGAGACTATATAGATCTGAAATTTTTTTACATTGCAAATTTCGCAGAAACAAGCAGATGAACGTCAAGCCTAAGCCTCTATAAAGTAAATGTACTATGCTATGTATTGAATTCTCGCATTTGCTATAGTCCTATTTTCGTTAATCGACTGCAATCGACGTGCAACCTGCGTGACATAACTTGCGGTGATGGTGCAAGACTATACGACGGTGCGGTCACCGCATGTGTGCGTTCGCCACGCGTAGAAGAAACATCAAGTCAGGTAACAAGAGTGCTAATGAAGGATAGCCGAGTTCTTACGAGCCTCTCCTGAGACCAGCACCTGTCCCTCCCTTGGCACACGTGTTTTTCCGATGAATCGTACGCACTCCGGTCTCTGGACTTCTTTTCATCGTCTAATTTTTATATATACCTTCGTATTGTGCGAAATGATAACAATCAGCGGACTCTAGGGTTATTTCTAATAAAATACATCTCGTTTTATAACAAAGACTATATTTTTCTAAAAAAGTACCAAGTAGTAATCGCTAAATCTTTGTCACTCTCGATTGCCGGTGAATCTGAAGCTACCGATATCTGCACCATACTTAGGCCCCGGAAATTTTTCTCAGTCTTTTTAATGCCTGCGATTCGAAGGAATCGTGCAGTTTCTGCGATGCCTCGTGTATATCATCCGTCGCGAGTTTGTGCCACGAGCTCTTAGTCGGCCAAGCGAGTGGGAACGATAAAGCACGGCGGTTTCGGTGCGTCTCGTGAGAAAACGACGCGCATTTTTAACGCGCGTCACGTCGGTACGCGCTTTCGTACGCGCGTGCACGCGGCACGCACGGCACGCATACACGCGCGCAGGACGCGGCGGCCGACACACTGCGAAAAACACTAGCGCGGCTATTAATTCAGAGACCGAGGGGGAACAGAGAGCGGAGGCCGGCAAAGGAGCAAAATGAGCGACGCTCCTCCCGGTTCCTTGGGGCCCTAAATAAAAGGAAGAAAAGAGAGAGACAGAGAGAGAGAGAGAGAGAGAGAGAGGTTTAAATAAAAGTAAATTCGTGTCGCCGCGGTCGCGTGAACTACCCGGGCTCCGAGGATATGAGCCGGGGAATCCGCGGGATCCCTTCGCTTCCCTCGGGGGAACCCCCTCGCGGAGAACCTGTCCTGTCCGACTGTCGGGATCGACTTTCCTTCCTTTGCTCCTCTTTGCTCGTATCGCGCGCGCTTAACGCTTTTGCCGGGTGTTATCTCGCGATCGCTACCACGGAGAACGGAAGAGAAAGAGAAAAGAAAAGAAAAGAGAACGTCGCGTCGGGACGTTTACATTTCTACAATGTCCCCGGAAGATTGATAGATAAATGGACCAACGATACTCTACAGCTATAAGTCTTGAAGAAAGAAAAAAAGAGAGAGAGCGCCGGATTTGTTTAATTGCATAAATTCTGATTAATTTGAAATTAAATTTCAAATAAACTTGTGGGTAAAATGTGTATTTACATATTTAATTTTTTATTACATATAGAACGTTTACATATAGAATGCAAGAATTAAGATATCTTATCAAGATTTTTAATTAAAGAAAATTTCTGAACTTGTAATATTCAATAATTGCACTAAATTAAAAATATTTTAGAATAGAATTATTTATTCTATAATATATACAAATTTTTGACTTTACAAAATCCTGGGAAACTTTTACTTTCTAGAAGATATTTCTTTCTTTTCTTTTCTCTTCTCGTATTCCAGTCGATAAATTTTAGTGGCTCTCATTTACATATTGAGATTAAATGAGATACCAGAATGTAACTATCTGATTATCTTTAAATTTACTTTTGATTCCTTAGAATTTTTAAAGTAATCAACGTATAAATGACACAATAAAGTAAAAATTTTGAACCTTTAAATTGCGATAGTTCAAAACTTTTTTCTTCTTTAACTGTTTATAATTCAAATTTCGTGAATCGCAACATTTTAGCTTGTAGTGAATTTTCCCAAAAATATACTCTTATTTTTTGATACAAAACTTTTTTAAATATTGGGTCTAAAAGAGATCTAAGGATCTAAAAGAGATATTATTGAAATATTTTCAGTATTCTCTCACAGTATTCTCGTTCTCAGAATGTCTTCGTTTTCCGAGAATATGCTCGCAAGAATATTCCCGGTGCGCATCACTAGTTACAAGCGGTTTAATATTACCTAAGCGAGATTGGTGCTGGAAAAAAAGGAACATTACTTTCCCACCGGCCCGGGAAAGATGGCAAAACGGCGCTCGACACCCCACAGTGCACGGATGGGCGCACGGATGGGTGCTCGCCGAGGGCAGGAGCACGCCTGACCTCCCAGCAGACAAATTAAAATGATGCACAGGCGATTCCACGCGTTACTCACGAAAACTTCTTCCTTCTTGCCGTCTCGAAACTATTTCAGGATGCGCAAAGTTGAGCGAAATATTGTTTCGTCGGCGGTGTTTCTTGAGTTCTAGGAAAGACCACTAGACGACATATACGTAAGGGGCTGAGAAATCGAGGAATCGAGTGAATCGAGGAGACTACTTGCTATTCGACAACTCCGATCCGAGAATCTAGAGTCGGCAAGTCTAAAGACAAATTCAACTAAGGATCAAAGATCCAAGAATTCAATCTAATAATCTAAATTTCAAAAGAGTTATAATTTTTAATAAGGTTTAAAGATTCATTCATATGATAAAAATGTGGGATAAACCAAATTATAGAAAATATTTATCTTGCTCCACAACATGTATTGTAATTCGCATCAAAGTTCCATCATTTTTCGTCTGATAATAAGCTAAATAAAGAACAAATATATTTTGCTTGATAAAGTCTTCTTGATTTAATTTATGTGACAGTAAAGAGTATTCATTCGTAGTAAAAGCGAGGACAGTTGATGTAAAATACAAGCAAAACTTGTTATAAATGGCGCTGCAGTTTTCCTTTTTTGTCAAACGCGCCTAACTTAATGACTAACGCGGGTCTGTTTTTAATTGCTTCGGGCGATTTAAGTACCGGGGACAGGCGACCAGAGAATGGGGTTATAAAAATGTGTGGATGGACCACCTTTGAAATGTTGGGTGTCCTAACGCATTTTATTAGCGCCTTCGCACAATCTTTTGCTTCATCTATTAACGATAGATTTTGTGTTACAACGTCATTAGGTTAATTAATCAATCAGCGAGTATAACCAAATACAATTAACTCATTTCATTTCTTAACCTTTTGATATGTTCGAGTATTTAATTTTACCACTTTAAAGAACTTACATTTATATGCATTTTAACATGTATACATTATTACGTTACAGATTGATTGTGAATTAATTTTGTAAATTTTCATATCACTTATAATTATTATTCTTTTTTCTTATCGCTATTAATTAGAAATTTTATCGTTTATTAAAAATTTCTATTAAATTTAAATCTTCTGTCCAATAATCCTAAGAATTAACAGCGAATTTCCGATAAAAGAATCAACTGCACTTCTTCAAAATCAAAAACAATAGTTCGACTTACCCTGTCGTACTGATGCGTCGCCGTGGCCGCCGGGAAGGGTTGAAAGGGCGCCGGCCTGGCTGGGCTGTGGTGGGCCGCGTGCGGATTGGCATGGGGGTGGCTGTGCGGGGCCGCATGAGGGTGGGTCGGATGCGGCGGCGGTGGCCGATGGGTCTGGTAGAGGTAAGGATAATATTGATACATCACATCGGAGCAGCTCATCACCCCGCCCGGGCCCGGCACCCCAGAGCTGGCCTGCAGACTTGCGTACCCGAACGTCGCACCACCCTTTCGAGCAACACCACTCCTAAACTCGTCCTCCAACTCCGTCGATGGATGCAATCAGATTAAACGCTCGAGATCATCCAAGGTCACTCAAGTCGTCAGATCAACACTAAGAATAATAATTCATGCTGCGACAACCAGGTAGTTCAATGTATTATTGTCGAACAGCTTTCTTTGGATATCTTTAGTCTAGCTTCTATAGCTTAATGTAATCGATTAAAAATTTCTAAATCACTTAGATATATTATAATTAACAGTGTAGCTAATAGTACACTGTTTATAAAGAAAATGAAATAGTTTGTATTCTTGCCAACAGTCTTATTATTATTTTTTTAATTTTTGCGCCGCTTGTGATAATTTAAAATCCAAGATTTATCGAGCAATACGTATTAACTCACGAAGATGCGTGTTTTAATCTTTATAATCATTTAAGATTCCTCGTTCTTCCAAGTGCAATTTATTAATTACCTAAATATATATTATTATTAAAAAAAGGATGGAAATTGCAAAAGAAGTAACAGAGATAATTATGAAAGATATTTGCAAGTCAATCACAATAAGATATTCTTGTCAGTCTCGTAGATATAATAATGACTGTTTCTACTAAAATGTGAAATGTATCGTTTTCTGACAACAAGCAATTTAGTAAAAAATAAATAATTTCATTTGTTCTTTCTCAAAAATCACTAAAACCACAGCGAATCACGAAACTACACGTTGATAATTTCTTCAAGTAGTTAAGATGATAGAAAAAGTTGCACAAATCGATAGCTCTTCTTCTTTTTTCCTCGATAAGCGTGTCGGTTGAATGCAAAAAGACTCAAGTAATCATCAGTTGGATATGTCAAATTATCGAACATATCTTCAATTCAAAATTTCACGAAAAAATGAGTAAGACATGAAGATGTCATCCTTGTATGACACTTCTTTTTCTATTGCTTATATTTATATCTTACTTTCCAAAATTTTCTTCTTCAATCTTTCTCCAGGCAATTAACTTTCATAACGTTATCTTTTCTTTCAAATGTCTCTCTTTAAAATCTCTCTTTTCCAATTTGGAGATCAATTGTCACTGATTTCAATACTCGACCACTTACGATGACTCGCACAATTTGACACCATGACTCCTAGTTCTAAACTTCAACAAATTCCAATTGTTCACAATTAAACAGTTCGTTGATGAAGCTTAATGTCTCAATTAAACTGTTTAAACTGTTATAAAATCTTTCTTTTATTATAACTTCATTGACACTTCACTTAACTAGTAACTACTGTCACCGTCCTCGTGATCTCATGTGTAATCTTATACGTAGAATCAACTGCAGTTCAAACCGACGTGTAATTTGCTTCACAGTATGTTTCACCCGATTACTATCTATTTTTCCAAAGATTCGATTTATTCTCGACAATGTTCTCCTCTAACAGTAAGATCACGCTCTCGTCCAATCGCGACACGTTCAGACTTAACGCAAAAGACAGGCGGTTCTCTTGCAAGATCAAGAGAACAATCAGTTGGTGAACGAAAAGCGAGCCCTCACCCTCGCAACGTGAACGGAGCGTGTCGCCGATGGTGGTGTGTCTCTCATGGGTGAACACAGACTGAAACCCCCCCGTACGCGACACCGTGTGTCACCCTCTCTCCATAGAGCCTGTCGCTGTCTTTTTCTAGAGCCGTCCCCGTCGCCGTCGTTTTCGAGCGGTGCGGCTGCCGCTTGAGTATTCTCTCTTTCCCCTTTACCATCACCCCGACACACGTTGGAACCGCGGCAGCAGGATCCGCCTCCTGGCAGTGCCGACATCGGCCAATCGCCGTGCCCGAACGTCAGGGCCAATCGCACTTGGCCTGCCACTACCACGAGCTCTCCCCGTATTGATCCCACAATGAACCCGACTGCAGCTGTGGTATTAAGAAGTTCGTACTTGGGTTAAACCACCCCCGCCTAAACCTCCTCTGCTCCCTGTTCCCCCTTCCTCCCTCCGGCTTCTTCGTGGTCTTCATCCTCCGCTACCGGCCACCTTCCTTCTATCCCGGGCAACCATCCCCCGCAGCGCGCATAATGAGTCTTAATTAACAGTTTCGCGGTGTTTTGGGAAGCTTAATTTGCCGTGGCGAAAAGGGGAAAGAGGGGAGAGGGAGAGAGAGAGAGAGAGAGAAAGAGAGAAGAAAGAAGGGGAAGAAGATGGCGTTTTCAAGACAGAATTCCTACGGAAATGTTGCTGTCGTGGAAATCGCATCTTTACGCGGCATCGATCGACCGACTTATAGCCTAATATATGTACATTCAACACGATCTTCAAAACGAATGATATTTTAAACTTTACACAGGAAAATTGAGGAAAAACAGAGATATGTATGTTTTTTTCTTAATGTTAAAAAGATTGTTAAAAATAATAAAGAAGATTGGAAAACGCAGGTCATCGCAAAAATAATACGTAAAATTATTTTAAGTAAGGAAGTACATACATATACTCAGGATGCTGTTTCGGATATTTTTTTCTATTTAATCGTGTTACATACATTTTCAAGAATAAGTAATATTTATAAATGAAGTATTTATATTATAAACAAACAAAATTAAAATATTTTCGAAAACTTAACATTTCCTTGGAAAGTTATGCTTGAATAAGAGATATACGTTTACAAAATATGATTGCAAATCAACGGTTATATGTGCACATATTATATGTACCTAATATATATACACACACACACACATAGAATGTAAAATACACACGCACATGTGTGCGTGTATTTTACATTCATATATAAATTTCCAAGAAACTGTTAAATTTTTGGAAATATTTTTAATTTAATTTAATAAAATCAAATCAAATGTCACGAGGGTGATTAAATTCTTTATCTATTAGATGTATGCAAAAGTTTTAGTCTATTTTCAAAGCTCTGATATAATTATTTAAATGGTATTTTGATGTAATTAAGTAAATTCCCGATTTTTTACGTTTTTAAAGAATTAAAAAAACATAAAAGATCATTTATTGGACAAGTAAACCGAAAGGCAATTTTGCTATATAACAACATTAGATTGCATGTTGCTTTTTATCCAGCAAATCATTTTTAACTTAGGCTGGAGAATTTCCTGCACGCGGATATTCACCAAACTTGGCGCCTTCGAATTATCACTTATTCTGATCGATGCAACATTCTTTAACTGAGAAGCACTTTCGAAATGTAACTAAGATACAAAAATATTTTTTTCGTAAAGGAATTTATTAGAGTAATGGCAGAAAATCACATAAAACAAGGATAAATATTTAGATAACTAAATATTATTACATATATCATGGATCTAATGCGAAAACGTGCGATAAAAGACTAAAAACTTTTGCATAATAGTTTGTCTCAGTTATTTTATTCTTGATCTCTTCAATTTTCGGCTTCCCTTCTCCAGCGAAAGCCTTGGGTGAGATCTTCGATAGCTTTCGGTGAGATCTTCGAAGTGGTCGTTTCTATTCTATGACCAGTCACATCTCGAATGTTATCAAAAGCTGCAGTAGTAGCCGTGGTCGTTTCTACTCTACAACCATTTCGAATGTAATTCATCATTGTCCCGTACTGTCCCGAAAGTCTCCTGTGCCGTTCGAGAAGATTCTTGAACTGTTCGGAAAGACTCGGTAAATTCATCTGAACTTGAGCTCCGAAAAGTGGCTTTATATCCGCTTCCCTTTTCCAGCGAAAGTTGTTTATATCGAAGTCGTTATCCTCATCCTCATTGTTGACATTCGGTTGCGATTCAGATCCGGAATCGCTATTATCCGCTTCCCTTTTCCAGCGAAAGGAGCTGTATAGCGGCGGGAGATCGGAATTCATCCCATTGTCGACATTAGGCGGCTCAGATCCGCGATCGTTATTTTCGCCCTGATTGGTGATCCTTTTCTGGAATTCCTTGATCTTGTTCAAATAATTTTGGAAAGAGAATGGCAATTGCGGAGTACCCTTTAAATTTGCAACAATCGAACCTTGAGAATCAGCCTTTCATAAAACTATATAAATACAAAATTGACTATACCTATGTTTCTAATACTTCTAAATTCGACATTAAATATTTTTAAAACTGTTATTAAATAATTATATTTTATAAATTTTACAGCAATAAAATTTTATCTAGAACTATTCAATGCGTGTAATATTATAGGCAGAATGCAATATTATAATTATGAATAGTGTGAAACGCACATAATACAATTCGTTTAGCAACTTACGTTGTTATCATTATTATTCGCACTTACTTTCATGTCAGAGCCCTGAAGGTCCTTCTTGATCTTGTTCCAAAAATTTTGTAAAATGCCAAAGAATGGCAATTGCGGAGTACCCTTTAAATTTGCAACAATCGAATCTTGAGAACTTTTATAAAACTATATAAATACAAAATTGACTATACCTATGTTTCTAATACCTCTAAACTCGACATCAAATATTTTCAAAACTGTTATTAAGTAATTACATTTTATAAATTTTAAACAGCAATAAAATTTTATTTACATAGAACTATTCAATGCATGTAATATTAGGGAGAATGCAATATTATAATTATGAACAGCGTGAAACGCACATAATACAATCCGTTTAGCAACTTACGTTAATTTCATTATTATTTGTGCTCACTTTCTTGGCAGGGCTCTGAAGATCCTCTTCAAGTTTTTTGTTGTCAGAGAGTAACAATTGCGGAGTACCCTTTAAATTTGCAACGATTGAATCTTGAGGATCAGCGTTTTATAAAACTATATGTATTTATTAAATATATAAATATAAAACTGACTATATGTTTCAAATACTTCTAAATTCGACATCAAGTATTTTCAAAAATGTTATTATATAATTATCTTTTATAAATTTTAAACAATAATAGAATTTTATCTAGAACTATTGAATGCGTATAATATCCAGGGAGAATGCATATTACGATTATAAATGATTATGATTATAAAAAACACAAATAATACAATTATTTAGCAACTTACAAACGAGAAACAAGAGAAGAGAAAATTATTAATTAAAGTATTTAATTTAAAAGCTATTTACAGATATTTCGGTGATGTATGCAACGACGCAAGATAAGACCAAAACGAGAGTGAGTAGCTTCATCTTGACTATTAATTGAAGAAGATAGAGAAGAGATTATAAGAGCAGCGATAACGATTCGCACTAAGCGCAAATATGACTGCCAAAACGAAAAAATGCTGAGTGCTTAAATATGGTTTCAGATCTTTAAGTTTACGTCATTCCCCGCAAACATTACCATCTCATTATTTTCACAAGTGCACTTTTTTTGCGTCGTAGAAATAGACAGCTGCTGCATTCAATGCCTTAATTAGCGAGACAAAATGAGGGAATTTTCCGTGACACTTTTGTGATCTCTTCCCCCTCCCCTGCTTCGATTACATAGTCCGTATCACTCTTATTACTTTTCTCAGCGTTATCTCGTTGTTATGATAATATGCGCATAAACATATGCATTTACATAGCTTTACATTTACGACATCGTTTGTGTGTTTGTACGTTAAACTTTTGCATGTGTTTGAAGACACGTATGAATGTAATCTAAATCTTTACATGCTTTCTATAAAAAAAAAAAATCAATAATAGATCAAGACACACAAGGTCTTAAGGCTAACTTCTACTTTTAAATTTCAGCATTTTATTTTCAAGATCGTAATTATTTTAATTATAAAGATAATGTTATAAAAAATATAACATATTCAGTAGAACTATATAAGCACATCTTCCCTATACAAAAAAAATGGAATAGATCAATATCTTAAAAGTGAATTAAAGCCTCGTAAATAAATGCTTTATTTTGTTCACTCTAATAAATGTATATGGTCATTAACAGTTATTTAATGGTCTGCAGTAGGATACATCCATCTCAACACAATGTAATCACTTCGCTGAAGATGGCTCAAAGAAAGAGCCAAAACATATGATTTTATTAATTACATGTTTTATTATCTTAATCAATTTGTGTTAAATTATTATTGCGTATTATTTACCGTGCCGACTCGTATATTCGCCGCTTCTTTCATTTATTATTTTTTATTTATTTAAATTACTTAAATCTGTTACTATATATTTATCCTTTAAATAAAAGAACGATTAGGTAATTTGCATATAACAATCACACATTTTATCTAAAACGTTATTTTACTCGTATATATAGAATATAATTTATATACCTACAGAAGTATATAAAAATGATGGAAGTCATTCAAGAATGTTACACATAAAAGATAAAGATAAATACCTTTCACAGCGAGAAATTTCAATTTGTGACTCCTGGTCGCTCACTATTATTCCGATTATGACGCGATAAAACCAAAAAAAATATTACAATATAAAAATACACACAATAAATATTCTTGTGCAAAATATAGTCAAAACGAAATTTTTAAAATAAAACAACATAAATTAAGCAAAAAGACCATGAGTCATATTATTAGAAACAAAGGTGTGACTTATGTGCCAGTGCTGCAATCGGCAGTTTAAGACATTGGAAAATACGTCCGGTTAGTGAAAATATTGCTATTTACTGCGCGAGGGTTCCCCGACGCGAGAGAATGTCGCGTGAGCTCAACTCACGAGCGCTGCCGGGTATTACCCTGAGCGATAACTGATGCAACGGGATTGTTCGGGCATAAAAATCGAGTATATCCCCGGGAAGAATCTGAAATTCGTATATAAGCAACCGACGCAAAGCGGACAGGCATCAGAAGTTGTTTCGCACTTCAAGCAAAAGCATTTCCTACTTTCGGAAAGGAACAGTATCACCATGAAGCTGCTAGTTTTTGTGTTGGCCTTATCGTGCGCTGTTATCTGTTCGAGCGCTGACGTGCCAAAGAGGACATCGCCGCCGCAATCGACCGGTCCGGTTCTTCCACATGTAAGTAATTGTTTAAATAAATAATTCAAGTAAATTGAAGTTGAAAATCATATATTTCACTTCAAAATGCGAGTTCATAGTTGATTCATATTTTCTTAATTTATATGTAAGTATTGAGACATCCAAATACATATTTGAAGACAATATTATACTTAAAATAAATAACTATATGGATAGTTTTTTTTCCTAATTAAATCCCGCATTAAATATTGTCTCAGCTGACGATAAGCATGACAAATTGATGATACGTGACTATGTATTCATTATAGCATATTGCACTGTAATTACTTTGCATTTCGCATGACTCACAAAGACACTTGTCGAACCAGAAGTATCATAAAGACTCCTGTTCATTTACTATTATCTCATTCATAACGCCAGAAGCGAGAAAATACACAATAAAATGTCTTGCAAAATATATTGAAATGGAAATATGTTTCAAAATAACACTTATCGATAAAACCTGACTTGTAAAATACACTAAAAGACTCATTTTTTGTCTTGTTAATTAATAAATAACTACATATCTGGAAAAAAATGCAAACCAAAAACGAAATAGATTATATTTACAGCTATGATAACAGTCAAATTAATAATATATAGAAAGAAATATCATTTAATCCCTCTCCAAAACAAAGAGATGATGTATATCCAGTAAACATTTTGTAAGTCTATTGATTGCAATGTATTTTAGTGAAAAATTATTTCCATTTGAATGCATTTTACAAGAATTATTATTGAGTATTTTCTCGTTTCTGACGTCGAGTTAAGTAATGACTGAAGCAAGAAGCCTGAAAGATGGTAAAGTGATGACAGAAATCGGAATTTCTTGTTAAAAAATATCTTTGTGAGACACTCTTGAATGATTTTCATCATTTTTATATATATCTGTATAGCTATATTCGGATAAATAAACACTAGACTTTTTTACATATATACATATATAAAATTATAGAATAACAAGAATTTTATTTTCAAGAAATGACTTTTTCTTATAGGAACCGCGTTTTCGCCGCCAAACCAACTTAAAGCTCGAAGAACCCAAAAGAGGTTCGATAACGTTTCAAGGGACGCAGCCTCTGAGTGGTCCACAGCGTCAACCAACCTGGGATCTCAATGCCAATGCCAACGTTTTTAACAACGGCCGCACAACGGCGGACGTTTACGGAGGATTGAATAAAGTACCTGGACAACGAGTGCAGCCGCACTTTGGCATCCAAGCTGAAAGAAATTTCGGCAAAAATGGTTTCATCAGAGGTCAGACTCAGTTTCAACAAGGTCCGCGAGGTCACGGACTCTCTCCCTCAGTTGGTGTAACTGGTGGCTTCCGATTCAAGAGAGAAGCCGAACCTCAAGGAACTTCACTAAGCTTCCAAGGATCGCAACCTCTGAGTGGTCCAATGCGCCAACCTACCTGGGACCTCAACGTTAATCGTAATATTTTGAACAATGGTCACTCAACCGCTGACGTTTACGGGGGATTGGGTAAAGTACCTGGACAACCAGTGCAACCGCACATCGGCATCCAGGCCGAAAGGAACTTTGGCAACAACGGTTTCATTAGAGATCATGGTCAGCTTCAGCCGGGTCGAGGAGGTCACGGTGTCTCTCCTTCGGTTGGTATTACTGGTGGTTTTCGATTCAGAAGAGAAGTCGAAGATGCTGAAGAAATAGAGCCCGAAGAGTATTAAAAAAATTTGGGGCTAGTATATACATAAACAGAAAATTTTAATAAACTGCCATTTAAGTTAATTCTCTTCAAACTGTAAAGTTGTAATTATATACTAAATATGTATTATTCTGCATATGATTTAGAGATTACGATATTTTGAGGCTATTTTAAATATGTAATATACATATATTGATGTCATTTATTTAAATAAATAAAATTTTACTAGAATATTTTCTTCCTGTATTTATATACATATTACACTGGTTTATAATTGCTAGGAAACAAATATACTTGTCGTTATATTACTGGAATATCGTTCCAGGATAAGAAATTACGATAGGGATATCTATATAGCCATGGAAAAAAACAGAATAAAAATGTAATAAATAAAAAAGTCAGTTACAGTAAAAAGTATGGCTCGACATGTTATGCGCAAGTGTGTATTCATACATACATTCATAGTTAAGTTAAGATCATCGGACATTTCGAGTTGTCCTCAAAGAAAATTCTTTTAACTCAGAATTTTAATTTTTTTGATTCAACGCGCAATTTAAATAATAGTGAACAATGGATTTAAAAATTCATATAAAATTTATTAGGCACCAAGAATCAGTCGTAACAGAAAAAGGTGCTCTTGAATTTATTTCTTTTAATTCTTTTAATCCCATGTTCTTGAAATCAAGATAAGATCGCAACTCACAATCAGATATCATTCCTAATTTTCCACCATAATCAGAAATTTAAGCTAGAGATCAAAGTAAAAAAGTAAATAGTCCAAAAAGGCTAAAAGCGCAAGAGTACACTATCCCAATAATAAAGAAAAATTAAATAATGAAATAAAAAATAAAATTGGTCGAGCAATAAATTGTAAACGAATCAATTGAAAATAAAAAATAAAAATTTTGATTTTATTTTTAACAAAATATATGCTGTTCCTTAGCATTTCAACCAGTGTATGTTCATCTTTCGAAAATTTCAAGAGCAATTTCTTATTTGAAAAATAAGCAAAGGTCTAATTTCAATCATCTCTTTTATGTTCTGCTATTTTTCTTGATTCTTACCATTTGCAGAGTAAATCAGTAATTACGGCCGAAGGGTAGCAGCTCGGCAAACACTTGACCGTATCAAATCGCGTCTAACGTCTCACCAAACGATATCGAATTTCGCGTGTTACTTAGCAGGTCCGAACGGGCAAATCCAATAAGACTCGACAAGCGTGACAAGAGGCGTCGGGTTTTTTTTTCTCGCAAGGGGCCTCGGAACATTACGATTAAACATTTTCGCCTGAGCACCAGGAACGTGCAGTCATTCTGCACGTGGCCAGTGCAACAATAGACAGATACAGGGGAAAGCGGACGAAGGTGCACCCCTCGCTATCTAATAGCTGGGCATTAAATTTGTCAGTAATATTGCCGGAGGGAGTCGCTCTTGCCCTTGCCCTTCCGGATCATGAATGGAGCGGGACAACTGAAATATGCCGCCGCTCGTACTTTCATCCCCCTCGTCGTGAGGGATACGGCTCGAATAAATGCCGGACAATGGGAGGCGAGATATAAAGACACTGCTCGAATAAACCCTCACGCTTCGAGATGTTGTTCCTTTTTACCACGTGCGCGCCGATCAAAAAATTGATCTAGCTACTTGACGAAGTAGTATAAGTCAATATAAGTAAAAAACGACAATAGAAAAATATAAGAATTTTTAGCGATAGAAAAAATACAACAAAAAATATGATTTATATAGAAACATAGGATTTAGGATTCAATAATATAGAAAGAGTTTTAGCTATCACTTTAGAAATAAATATATAAAAATTTTTTATAATAAATCTAAACATTTTCAAGAAAATATAAAGATAATAAACTATAAGAATCTTCTTGCAAAATTTGTTTCAGAATAATTTTGTAATATCCCGTTAAGGAATCTTCCAAAAGAAAAAAACTTGCGAGTTTTAAATTTCAAGAAAACAACTTTGCGAAAAAGTACGATCATTAACTCTGGCCTCCAAGTTGACTCAGTTGAAAATATCTCGGGTAAATAGCGTTTATATTACGGATCAGGCGATTACTTCGACGAGAAATTCGTGTGCAAGAGCAAGAGCGAATCGCCAAAAGAAAAAAATGCCGCGGTCCAGGGATGCTGCGAACCGCCGTTTTTTGATAGATGGACAGCAACGGTCTCTCTCACCGGTGGAGTCCCACGAAAGAGGATTGCCAGGAACGTCGAAATAGCAAATTAGGAAATTCCAAGGGAATCCATTTCTCTTTCTCTTTCCCGTTCCCACGGTTTGTTCTTACCCTCACCCTTCCTTCATCATACGATTTCTTAAGATATTAAGAAATTATAATAAATGTTGTATAAATTTTTATAGCACTATCATAATTTAAATTTCAAGAACAAAAAAGGAGGACCAGAAAATAAATTATAATTAAGAATTAATAATAAATTCCTAAAATATATTGTTTAATTTTTTTCACGCATTATTTGTGTTTTATTATAAATACATGATCTAGCATGTGGCCGCTTTATTTTTTCACACATTATTTGTGTTTTATTATAAATACATGATCTAGCATGTGGCCGCTCTTGACATGTCGGTTCAGAATTAAAGATTGATAAGACAATAAATATAAATCGATAACAGAGAAAGTGGATGTGGCAATGAGAGAAGACAGCTCGGAGAGACAGCTTTATTGTTGTAACAACTAACAATGTATTACTAGTACAATAGTAGCGCCGACTTCAATCATGAAAATCGCGAGCGACTTATGGTCTCAACCACGTCGTGACAGGCTTGATTAATCATCCGGATTCTCATTTTAATACGTCCAAAAGGAAAGCTTGGAGCTTAACACTCAAATGCAATACCACGGCCTGAGGACTTTTGGAGAAATGAAGAAAATAGATTCCTCAAAATATAATTACAATTCTATCGATCTTAAGGTACATTCTTATTGTGACGCTTTTTGTCCCTCGTTGCTGCTCTTCGTCTCTTCCTTCTTCTTTTCCTTCTCCTCGTCCTCCTGCTCCAAATATTTATCCCATTTGTTCAATCGTGCTTCGATCTCCGCGTCAGTTTCTGTAATTCTGAAGGACACATTTCCATATATTAATACAGCTGCGTTTTTCACAAATAATGTGACTCAATTATATATTAAATGCAATTGTAACATAATATTTGTTGCTAATTGAATAAGCAGATTTTACCAACAATGAATAAATATGTGGAATACCACAAGAGACATTCAATTAATTCGATTTAGCAGTAAATAGATAACAAATGCTAAGAAAAATATTTTTTACAGCATTAATATATTACAGGATTGCGATATTTTTTTTTCTATATAAATGCTGTTTTATATATAACATAAAAGGTGATACAGAAATGTTCAGATTCTTTTCGAATACCTGTATCAGCAACTACCGGTATTGGCTCTGAAGCCGGCATAGTAGGAACCAGCAATAGAACTTACTTGTACTTGGTCTTGCCGTCCCAGATCTCCGCCGAGATCTTCCTCTGACTGAACCAACGGCCGTTCAGAAGCTGCACGCAAGCTTGCGCCTCTGCCGGTTCTCGGAATGTGACTTGCGCTACTCCTTCAGGATGTCTCTGAGAGGAGAAAAGAAATATAGAGTGAGTCACAAAGTGTGCGAATCAAATACAAATCGTTCAATTCTAATAAATCACGTTTCAACGACGGATCGTTTGTTAGAGTTGACATATTAATGTTAAAGATAATATAAAACGTGAAAAATAATTTAATAAAAAAAATCAATTATTTATTACTTTGATTAAAACTTACTACTTTCAGTTGCTCTATTTTGCTGAATAATTTGTAGATTCATAGTTCAATTGAATCATTGATGTTTCCATATGTTTTAATGACTTTGTGTAAATTTCTTCGTGCAGCTACTTTTCACTTCAAATGCGTACAATCGAATATTTTGTTTAATAATAAAACAAAACTTGTACAGTAAATTAATTCATTTTATTTTTAATATTAATAATTCAATGCAATTCCAATGCAAAAATTGTAAAACAACATCCAAACTATGTATTTTATTTTGACCCATTTACGGAAGAATCTCGCAGGCATTTTAAAATTCCATAACACTATCAGCAAACATCCTTTGATCCACCTCTAACAAACCATACTTTACGACAAGCATGACAGTAAAGGGCCATGATTCACCGAAAACACATTGGCGGTAACACGTGCTACAAGGATGAGAAAAAATGACAACGAGATGCCTATGGTAAATTAGGTGGCAGAACATGAAATTCCACGCGTAGCTTTTGGAGCCGATGCTATTTCTCGCTTCGTGCGCCCGAGAGGAGAAAGAGATATAGTGAAATGAGTTTACATTAAGTTTCACAGATTTTGTTTTACGAAAATTAAGAAGGCAAAATCAATCATAGAAAATTCGTAATCATATTATATCTTTTTTGATATACTTTGTGCCAATTTTTCATATTTAGATATATAATCAATTTATAGGATGGCCCCTGAATGTTTTAGCCAGACTTTGAGATTTTATAGAAAATTTAATTATGAACAAAAAATTTCCTATAAACATGGATCGAAAAATGCTTTCTTAAAGAGTTATCGTCCAAAAGTTTCATGGTTATCTTATACATTTTCACAAATATCATGGAAAGTATGCGTTTTTTTATGAAAAAAATCTTAAACAAAAGTTGTACAAAATTAAATTATCTTTCAAATGGAATCAAAATAAGTGTGATATGTTTTATAGGTTTTGAAACAGCAATTTCAAATGTGTGTTGTAAGGAACCATTTTTGTGTACAAGAAACTTTTTGTGCAGAATTAAATTTCCTACAGAATCTCAAAGTCTGGCCAAAACTTGGGGGCCACTCTGTATATTTTATTCAATAAAACAAAATCTATCGGATTAATTAATTTTGCTCCTGACATCAATGATTCGGCTTCAGAAACATCAGTGCAATGTCTAAGCTTATATTTTTTATTCTCAGCAATTGCATGCCGTTTCATGGAGTTTAGAATAAAATTTCATTCTTTGAGTGTCAAGAAACTATTAAAGAAACTATTAAAGAAACTACTAAAAAAAGAAATTAGAATATACAATATCTAGACAACATACAGCGTCTAGATAAAAAGAAAGACATAAAAATTGGCAAAAGGAGGGGGGAAACACACGTCGTCCGGATGGAATGCGCTTGACATTGAATAGTTTCACGGCTGAGGCTCAAAGACTGGGAGTGTCTTGCCTCTCGCCAATTTATGGGGGTTAGGGGCATCCCCTTTCGAAGGCGTTTCTTCACTTGCCTATTCCGTGAAATTCGGTCGCTAAAAATACGACACACTTGGAAAAGGACCGATCGCTTTCAATTCGAAAGAGAGACAGCGATTTCGAGACACAAAGATTTTAAGTATTGCAATTAAATTCGCAATATTTCGTGACTCCCGTTTTTATACGAAATATGACGGTCGAAAAAATGTTTAATTATTATTAATAATCGTGACGTAAATCCAGTGGTCCTTGTTAAAATAGCGCACGCAAAAGAATAAAGGAGATGAAAAAACTCACGTCATAGATGACAACTTTCCTAACATCGCCACACTTCAGGCACTCGGATCGAATATCCTGCTGGTATTCCAAGAGCAGCTGGACTTCCCTGTCAAAATCCTCCGGTGTGAAAAGGTTTTTTATGATGACGACCCTTTCGCATTTCAGCGGTTCGCCTCGCATACGCTCCGGTCGCCAGTCGAACAATCTGTAAATAAACAAGTTACGGTACAGGAATGATGAGGAGATACGACAAGTTTAGATTGATCGTAAATGCTTCCTCTGTATTCGGAGAAAAAGGCACAGTGATGGTAGCTATAAAAGTAACTATACAAGTTTTATATGTAGAATTAAAGTACATAATTAAACTACTGTACACAGTTGAACAAACTATTTTATAATTGCACCAACTATAATTTCTTTATAAAACAATAAATTTTCTCGACCGCTATGTGAACAAATCAAAATAAGTAAAAAAAAAGAATTTAAGACTTCACAAATATGAAAACATTATTAGGTACCAAGATATTTTGGCCTTTCTTTTATTTACCTGTTTTATAAAAGTTGTGACTTTTATAATTGCCACCGTTATGTCTTTTTCTTTGCGTGTGATGATCAAGTCTACATACATAAATTCTTATTGATAATTACGTTATAATCAGAACTATTAACAATTTATCTTTAACTGTTATTCTTAATTATTGTTGATAAAGATATCAGCGAAATAATAATCACCACATCTCCCATTTCTTCACGCGACATTACGTCAGCACGCTACTATCGTTATTGGAAGTGGCGTTTCTCAAAGATTAAAGATGCCGACAAACGTCGCTGATACAGCTGAACAAATTGCCGGTAGCGAGTTCGCATGATCGCGAACAACTCGTCAAAGCTGAGTGAGAACAGTTGTAAATGATCGATAGATCGCGTGGCTCACGATTCTCCTTCTCGGAATCGCTCGGGAAAATGATGCTGATAGAGAACGTATGTTACAGTGCCAACGTAGATTCGCGACGGGTGTCGAAAGAGCCGTGTATGTTGCTGCAAAGACTACTTCCGGCCGGCAAACGTGGGCCCGTGCGTTCACCAATAACTGGTTTTCGCAAAGTTCAGGGCGTTGACCCTGCGCACACGACCTACGCCGGATAACGAGAGGATGCTGCTAACGACGAAAGCGACAGAGATGCGTCGAGATTGAGCAATACAATGAAATATGATGACGCGAGAACGCGTTAAAATCGATGTTGAGGATGAATCGCACGGGAAGCGACTAATATCCGTTGAAAATATCGTCGGAAGCGAGCCCAATTTATTTTTACTTGGAGCCCAATCCTATATCATCATAATTGCCTTTAACTTTAATTATTGTCATACTTTAATTTAATTATAATTGTATTAAATTTATATGCATTTATATAATTGTATTAAATTTATATGCAAAATCGTCATGAATTTTACATCAAAACGCGTTTCTTTCTGGACCATTCAAGAAACGTTCGATATCTATCACTTTCGGCACTCGGGCGAAACGATTATATCCATTGAAACATGCACGTCGACAAAGTCAATGTCATTCAGCGCAATCATACGCTTCGATTAACGGGTTAAGCCGCTCAACGATCTCCCTGCAAGTGCTGCACCGTGCCCGTATATAATTTTGGGCTGGCCTGTATGCAGACCGGCGGACTAAATGCGGGTAATCGACGTGCGCAGCTGCCTTTGCCGCCGGAACCGCCAACGCCAAGCAGTCTGGCGTCTGCAGGCGAACTCGGGACCGATGGCAGTGCAATTATAAGAGCCTTTTACACACACTGCAACACGTGTTACACGAGGCATGCATCGCGGAGATACACGAAGGCTTTTTCTAAATTATATGGTATCGCGTATCATAAAATCACGCGTATACAACGCGCTTCGTGATTCGAAGGCATCTCTCCGCGCTGTCTTAAACGAGCCGCTTGCGACACGCGGTGCAGCGCGGCGCGTAGAAACCTTAATAAGATGCACACGCGTGGCGGCCGCGGCGGATGCACCGTGGATGAAACGTATCTTGATCCCCCGAGGATACGCCGTCGTCGTCGTGCATGGACGCGAGCGAAAAGAGAGATGAATGGACCGGAGAAACCGGGGGGAGAAAACGTGATCATCGCGATTTTGCAACGCGAATCGCTGCGCACGCGAGTTATACCGGCCGTCCCGAGAGAGGAAGTGACATCACACGCTTTAAGTCAATGAGCCACGGGGGCAAGCCGAGATTTTCAGGAATAAATATGATACGGGAATTTGGTCCCGCGACGCGATTTATATATTAATATAGCCAAGTGTTAATCGACATTACTCGATTTAATGCGCGTTTGAAATGCTTCGAGATAAAATTTGTGATACGTGAATATTCGTGAAATTTGTGGAAACTCACTTTTCCTGCATCTTCTTCTGCCGCTCCTTATCCTTCTTTTTCCGCTTCGGTTTCAACGCGGGATCGTATTCGCCCTTCATTTGAAACTTCGCCCTCTGAACCGACAGTGTTTTCCCCCGGATTTGCGAGCCGTCTAAAATTTTCAGCGCCAGATCCACCGACTCGACCTGGAACGGATATTAAATAATTAATGATAAATTACGAGTTGGTTAAAGATTCATTCGAAACTCGAACGAAAAGCTCGATCTCGCCCGTTGTTCAGAAAATTTTTGCGCGTCTTGTACCGAAAGTAATTAACGCAGGACGTAAAAGAGGCGGCGTTAATAGGCTGCAGTTCCTAGTTATTGTGCCAAAGTAATGAGGTACTATTGTTACCTGACAATGTGCTCGCGATAAAGTTGATGATAAGTCCCACAGTAAAAATTCGCGATCAATTTAAATATGTTTTATTAGCCGGCTACGCCCACGACAATCACGCCGAAAAAAAAAAAATTACAATTTACATACGAGAGGTTCGGCCGTGAATTTATGAAATGGGCGTGTTCTCGATTCGGTAGCCCTCTAATTAAACCGGATCTGTCCTTTCATCATTGCGTAACCCAATTTTCCGAACAAAATTCGTTAATTCAAATTTTCCCGTTTATCGAGAAAGTTCTCGAGTATAACAAGTTACTTAACATTGCATTGCTTTCCAATAATTGTTTAACAACTTTCCCGAAGTTTTATTGCGCGGAAAAGAAAAATATTTGGTGTAACTTTAGCAGCGTGTAACAAAAGGGATTAAAAAAAAAACCGTGACTCTAAAAATCAGAAGATCGGAGATTAAAAGACTGAAATTAAGCGAGAGATTTCCGAACTTAAGCTGGCAATTATCATCTCGTCAAAACTAAATTGTATTTCTAAACATTCTTAATGGCTTCAAAGAAACCCCATTGAGTTCTTGTATATGGACAGGACATAAAAACGTAAAACGAAACTTATTTTGATGCATGTAATACGTGGACGATATACATACGTGTATATGTATGTAACACTACGCCACTACCGCGTCTCCTGATATATAGACGGTCAAACTGTATTCGCAGACATTCTAGGAATTATTTTCAGCTGTTGCACCATCGCTCGTGTTTCCGGGCATTAGATGTGTCAAAAAGCGGATAATATATGTATCAGAAATAGCGAAACCGTTTCAGCGGTAATGGTGTCACGCTTATTTACAAAACCCGTAAAACATGAGCAGCGCAGCTTAGCGCCGCGCCGTTTTAACCGTGACTTCATGCCATTCATAGACGGATATACTATGAATAGGACGGAGGGAATAAGTATTTGCCAACTGTCTCTTTCCCGTGCCTCGAAAGAAAGGGAAACGAGACAAATAAGAGCGCCTTTTATAGCAACGGAAATTCTACGGGAAGGAAACGCCTGACGCCTGAGAGATATTCGGCGAGATAAAATTCTGCCGGTCGTGAATTCGGCGGTTTGAATACCACGGGTACATGCTGCATAATGCAACGGCTTGGCCCCTTGTTTCATATGCATTTGGCGTGATAATACGCGATGAGACAAACGTGACTAGAATGACGACTATCTAAATGTGCACGCTGAGGCGATGTCGCGCAACGACGACGACGACGAATGACGTAACGATCTCAGAGACAAGTCTCCCTTGTAACGATGACCTAAAAAATAGCTTCCCTACTATGCTCGATATCTTAAGATCGAGAAACCGAGCGGAGAATATTCCGGGAAGTATTCAAAGGCGCTCGCGATATTTGATTTACCGTCGACCCACTTATAGACGAGGATTCTAATTCTTAGGTTCTCGAAATGATCCCCGCCGTCTCTCCACGTCTGTGCCACCGTCGACCGGACCGTTGAAAGTAAGGAATAATTTCGAATTCGATTCGATCGCTCTCTCCTGGAATCGTTACGGGTCGAGAGTTTGCGGCTATTTCATAGCAGTACGATTGTTCGCGGAGAGAGTTTACGTGGAGAGGAATGCAACGCGGCTACGAAATTTGATGCTTGTATATTCATCATAGCACACGTAAGAGTTTCTAGCCTCAAGGATATCCACACGAGAAACAAGAGTCACGTAAACACACCTTAAGAACCTGCGGACATAAAGGGCCTCGCCGTTCCTTTCATGCATCATCCTGCAACACCCACGCGCCAGACAGCTTCAAGGCTCCGGCATTCTTTTTCTCTTTTAGCGCGTCTCGCTTTCGCTTCAGCCCTTTAGCCGGTGGGACGCAAGCGGAAAGCCGACGTGACCGTTGACGTCATCATCTCCTCCCCGCGCAGGACTTGCAAAAGTGATTTAAATAGGAGGGACCCCCTTTCTCAATTCCTATCGCATGATCTGTCTCGCGTCACGAAAAACCAGTATCATTTCCCCACCGCAGCCGCGGGAATTCCTGCACGTGAGATTCGCTGCATACACGGCAAGGTATTTACGCGACACGTCAAGGAAGCGATCACGCAATTTGTGATAATCATTTTCCTCTATTAAGGTCAACTTCTCGGAAACGCTCGACTTAAACAAGCGTTCCGGTTAAACGAGATTAAGAGGGAGAAAGCACAGCTACCCGCGTACATCGAGTAGATAACGCGTGAAACGGTAATCTACACGGTCGGACGCCGGTATATTATAGGCATAGATCATCGTTGTTCGCGCGTAAACGACCAGCAGTGATTAAAATGCCGGTTCTGTGGGTACGATTCCAGTCCTTCCAGACCCCCGTGACTCGGCCGTGACAGCTACCAATGGGATTCGACTTATTGTCAGGCCCGTCGACCACCCAGACGCAGCTCCCGCGGTCATCTCGCAACACGGCCGATGTTAGATCACCGCAATTACAGTATACCCCTCGGAGATCCAGTTCACGTTAAATTACACGCGTTCTCCTCCAGCCGGCTATACGTGTGGTACACACGTAGCACACATTACAATCAGTCATCAGTGGCGCGGTCACGCGTCCTGGGAAAATACTCTCTCACGTCTTGCGGACAAGACATACACGAATTTTCGCCGTCGATCTTCCACTCGTTAACGCGCCAACAAGTGGACGGGGATGCGTAAATGCCGCAGTAAAAGTGTACGCGTTGAAGATTTTTCGCGACTGTCCATCTACGTGCTAATTAGCTCTCTAGTTTCTCCGTATATATATATGCAGTCACGGCTAACATACCAAGAATAAATAAATTAGACAATTACGTGACCGTTTGCGAATGTTTGCTCCCCGACAAGATAAGTTTCTCCGAATGTAAACGTCGCGATGTGATTTCTCGAATGACTAATACCCGTGACCGATGTAATTGCGTTTATATGTGCAGTATAACGCGTATCGGTTTAAAAATTCATAAAATAATTCGATGAAGAATATCGAGCTGTATACATCAAGCTGTATAATACGAGAATATCCTGAACGGATGCAAAACGCTACGTATGTAGAAGATAACATCTGAGATATCCATTTATCTCTGGCGTGTAACGTTGATTAATGATGGACGACAAGATTTCGAGGCGCCATGGATCATCATTATTGTGAGATGTTGTGTTTCTAACATGCTTCGGAATGAATACCGACGTCCCCTCTAAGCAACTATAGTTAGCCGACGTCTATTATCATTACCAGTACTGGCGCCCGGCCAAATTTCTCGCCGGGATGCATTAAATGCCGTGGCTAAAGAACGCGACGTGACAATTCATTAAAACGTTCGAGAACAGATGTAGGAAAAAAAATATTTCTCTTCCAGAAAAATCCATGTTCATTGATTATCCTCGTTGGCTTGGGCAACTTACACTTCACGCGGTACAGCATATTTCGCATTCCAATAACCGCAACTTCCGCAAGTGAAGAGACAGGTTGAAGTGCAAGGCTAAGGTATGTATATACGTTAAAGAAGATTCATACTCGAGACGGGCGGAAAGAGGCTGCTGACGACGGAAGATCATTTCACATTCTGTGTTTTGACTGGAGAGTAAAATTCTCTCTCTAATGCACACACAGCAATATCTCATTGCTTTCCTAGCTCGTTCTGTTATTTTTAGGCGCAAGAGAAGGAACGAGGAGCTAAATGATAAGGCGTGCTGATGCGCCGCGTTGATTTAACGACGCGGCGGCGGCGCGAGTAGCGCGAGTGCGACGAGAACGTGTACGTGTGTGTATATACATTGCGCGAAATGCTGACTCAACCGCGGGATCATACTGAATTATCATCAGAATGATTGCAACGGCCGGCGCTACACGCCTACGCTATTGACATTTAAGATCGCGGTTGTCCCACTAATTTGCATCGCACGAAATTCCAGGGATGAGTCAGCCAATTACCCTCGATGATCGCGCATGTAAGTTTCATTACATCGTGCGGCCAATTTACAGTTACGGTTCTAACCGAACGAACGTGTCGTCGTACGGAGAGACGCGCGCGCACCGAATTTTTATAGCCTAATTTGCATCGCCAAAAATTACACGACGTCAGTCAACAGGTCCTTAACTTGTTGTAAACGGGAATTGTTGTGCGAAAAAACACTCCGCTTTTCGATGGGAGAGAATTTTAAACGCAAAATAATAGACGGCAAAGATACAAGAAGACTGTAATTTAAAGTCGATAAAGCGTTTCTCATTAGACATGCAACGTTCATTACGAAATAATTTTCCTACTCTTGCTAGATAATAATATATCGCTGTATCTCGTAGCCCGATATCTCGAGTGGTACCAGCCAGCACCATCCAGCTTCCCTTGAGATGCGTATTTCGGGATACATTTCACTTTGAAGATAAACGCCGCGGGAACCTGCAGGATGTCTCTCTACTAGCTAAGAGTAGAATTCTGATTGACAAGTTGCGTCCGAATTAGAATAAAATATCTTTCTGTTCGAACAACACAATAGATACGACATTTGCTTAAAAAAACAGAACTCTGTATATTTCGTACACAAAAAGAACGATTTTACTGAAAGATCTGAAATGTATCTGTATACAGATCTCAAAATAATTTTGTTGAACCACCAAAATAATTATGTTGAAAATTTAAACTGGTTGCCAGAACATATCAAAATTTTTTGCAGCATTGTTAATCATGTTTGAGTTTCCGCACTGTTAAATCTGTAGCGTTAAATTTAACTCTATTTGAATCGCCAATGTTCCTACTTAAAATGTAGTTATTTTTAAATAAAATAACGGAATTTAACCTAAATGGGTTGAAGAACTGTTTTAAGTTATTTAACTCCATTGTTTTAATTAAAAATAACTGTATATTAAGTAGGAGCAATGGCGACTCAAATAGGATTAAATTTGACACTATAGATATAACAATATATAATTATTTTGATAGTCCAATAAACTTACCTTTTTACCTTCAGATTATCCGATTAAATTTTAGTTTCAACCAAATCATTCTTTTTACGTAGATACTGAATTATCACCAATCTCAGAGAGATATCTAAAGAGTAATTCGTTTGATCTTTAACACATCAAAATATCGTACAAATTGATCCTGACCCGACCTTACAAGTTCTGGCAAGTCATTCCATTTGATACTTTATTTCTTTTGGCTTATGCCGTCGAAACCGCGCGAGCATGCCTCCGCCGCTTCGTTTCATTGTTTCCAATCGAAACTACCCAGCCTCGCGCGATAAAACCCTTCCCATATTAGGCGCAGTGTCGTCTCTTTTCCTACGAGAGACGACACTACGAGACATCGTCGCGAGAGACACGACGCGCATATACGCGCGCGCGGCACATTTTGCAAAACCGGTTCCCGGAATTCCATAAGATCTGAAGTGCACACGAGCGCCTTACGGGAGCGCGCTCGTAAAAATCGTCGTTTTGTCCCCGCGCGTCGTGTGTCGTATACCTACTGAAGTCGCCGCGGGCGAGCACAAGCCGGCGGCGGCACAATTAAGAACTGTTAACGCTTCGGTATTTAACTAACGACAAACGTCGCGGAAATTACGGCCTCGCAAATTGCAAATTCATGCCGATGAAATTTCCCCGGCGACAGAAAACAACGTCTCATGAATGGATATGAGCGTCGCCGGCGGCGAGACATCTGCTATCCCGATCTTCCCTCCGGCTCTCGACGACTGAACAGTTGCGGATGCTGAGTGTGTGTGAAATGTTACTTAACTCTCTTAGCAACCAATAAAAGCTGACATTTCCTCACAAATATTTCTTACGGTACATTGGACTGGTCCCTCCCGTGTAGGACGTAGAGTTTTAATGACGTATGACCTACCCGCTCCTTCGAAAGCGTCAGTCGCTTCCTTTCACGGTAAATGCGCGTGAAAGAAGAAACGCACCCGCTTGTAAATGTAGTCGGGATAATCTCGGTCAAGTCGACGATTTGATTGCTGTTCGCACACTACACGATTAAATTTTGAGGAGCAGTATATATATTCCAATTTTTCTCAGATATTATCGAGTACGTCATCGATTAAATTAAAATTAAAATTTCACTTTTACACTCCTTTTACTTACTCCTCTGATCTTGAGAGAGATTTAGAGATGCACGAAAAGTGCATCGACACGTGATCTTGCCCAATATGGAAACTTGCCCTAGAATAGAATTATACTGCTATCTCTTCATTTGCGCTATTGAGTTCTGCGTGTGTATGTGTGAATATGGAAATTTGGCTTGAAATAGAATTACTGCTATTGTATAGTGAGTGTATTTACGTCCGTGACGTTTGTGTGGATATACATATATGAAATATTGAAAGTAAGATCTAATCTGTGGGAAAAGTTAACTACATTTATTCTATCTCAAGTATTGGTTTTAAATACATGCGAAATAAAACTTATAAGAAGAATAAATTCGTACGTTTAAGAGTGTGGAGGGAAATTTATGGTAGGTACTTGATAAGATTATCAAGTGTGGAAAAAAAATGAGTTAACTCTTTTAAATGGCTGACTTGACGTAACGTTACACTGACGTAATCGTATGGTCACGGTGATTCTCAAGCCATAAACACGGCTGCTGTATCTACATCTCCATAATGCCTGACGCAATATCTAGAATTACTTGAATCTGTCAATCGTACCATTGTGATTTCAGGCACGCAGTCGTCAGCCCACCCCAAATTGCAATTCCGCAAATTGCAGCATTCCCCCGGTGTACCTTTCAAAGCATCAGGAATGCGCAAATGAATCGCCGTCATAGCAGTTTGAACGTAACATCATCCCCTCCCCCCCCCCCTCGTCGTCACCCTCGAAAGCACGGTCTGTATTTATGTAATGAAAAAAATAGAACAAAAATCGCGCTTTGATGTCACAAGCGTACAAAATAGTTTTCAATTCCAACGTTAAACTTGCGATATTTATATATAAGTACATTATTTAAGCGCGATTAAACATGTAATATTCGAAAGTTGTAGCGGATTACTTAATTTCGTCATATCTTAATAGTTCAATTATCATCGTCTATTATAAGAAAAGCTGTCGCTACTTATACTTGCTGACGTGATGTAAAGCGCACACAGAAAGAACAATTTTGCTGGATCCAGATCTGAAAATAATTTTGGTTCAATAATTAAAATAATTTTGTTGGAAACTCAAAATAATTGCTAGAATATTAAAACATTTTATAGCAATGCTTATCATTTTTAATATTTCAATAAAATGTTTTGATGATTCAACAAGAATTAATTTTCAGATCTATATTCGGCAAAATTTTTAGACTTTTCAACAAAATTGTTCTTTCCATGTACGGACAGATTTATTATATTATTATATTATTACAAATTATATTATTACAATTGCCTTGATGTGCGTTCTCAAATTTGAGTTTGAAGATACTAACATAGACATGTATTTTATGTATTTTGAGTTTACAAGAAGCATTAAAAATGTAACTTCAAGAAAATTAGATCAAAAGTTAATAGTTACCGATTAAATGTAACTAAATTAAGTTAAAAGTTAAGAGCCTAAAATGTAACTAAGTTAAGTTAAAATATTTAAGAGCACACGTC